CTCAGCACTGAGCCTGGCTGGGCAGATCGAAAAGCCCAAGAAACACATGGATGCTACGACTGCACTTGGGGACCTTGGGAAGTTGTTGAATCACCAACTGTACACATACTCCGTCTCCCCTTTGGAGACCTGTCATTGCACACTATAGACTGCGTTCCTGACATGGGACAGTGTGGTCCCCATTAGTACCACCCCCTCTCACAGCGAGGCAGTTGCCAGCCAGACAGGATTCTCTGCATGGAGCTTCACTGCCTGATACACCCATAAAACCACCACTACTGAGGACAACTCTCAGGCTTGCCACACCAGGGGTGACAGCAGGTGTCCTTGTACATGCCCAGGGTGACCAGAGGTAGGAAGTTGAGTCTCCTTTCTGTCACTAGCTGGCCAGGTACATGTGATCCAGCCACCTGGCTCTGTCCAGGACCATCACAACACCCAGGCATTGGTCTCCACATCTCAGGGGCTGATAAGGATCCAACACTCGTGCTTCTGCCCATGGAAAAAGTGCTTGGCAGACCTAAGGGATTCCTACCAATGACAGGATGAGCAAGACCTGCCCTCCACCCAGCTCACTAACTTGGTTTCCAGGCAGCCAGAGCTGTGTTTATAGCAGCAAAGAGGTGGCCCGCTCATCAGCAGGCCCCTAAGCCCTGCAGACATTTGGCTCTGGTGTGACAATTATGTTTACACTGTCTCACTTCATATGGTTCAGGGACAGAGAAACAGAATAAGGAGGGGAAGTGGGTAGGGGAGGCAGAGCGACAGATTCACAGTTGAAACCTCTTTCTACCTCAATCAGCTCCAGTGCATGCCCAGTGAGCCAGCCTGGCCCAGCTGGATGGCTCAACCAATCTTGAGACCTGAGCTGTCTATAGGCTAGTCCCATAGCCCTCTGTAACAGGACACTAGCTCTGGAGGGGTTCAAACAATCAAAGCAGAACTCCTAAGACCAAGTTCCTAGGAAGGGTTTCCCAAGGCAGATGAACAAAGGCCAAGGCTCCTATGATCCAGGGCATCATTGTAAAACAGGAAAGTTTGCTGAACTCCAATCTACAGCCTCTGAATCTGTGCCCTAGCAGAATCAAGGAAGAGAAAACAACAGGAGCCAGGTCCTTTCTAAGATCAACAGCAAGGCAGTAGGAACCCAGCTGCTGAGGCAATAAGCAAGTCACTGTGAAGCAGCTCTGTCCTGCACAAGGCCCTGCCAGACCACCCACCTCCCTAGCACTCAGGCTCGCCAGGGTCTCTGGAGAGGGAGGTGACGAGTAAGCCTGGCTGAGGACCCTGGCATACTGTAGACCAAAGCACTAGGCAGGAGCTGCAGGCCAGACAGCCCGGCAGTTCTGCATGCCAAGCCCACAGCCTGAGTGGGAACTCAGGCTCCATGGAAACCACTCCCCAAGGGGCGATGAAGTTTCCAGCACTTGGGGACACTTCAACTGTCCTGGCACAAGCACAGAGGTTGTACTGTGGGAAGAGGCTGTGCAAGCTGCTGAGCTTCCCAGATGGATGTTCCTAGGAGGACAACATAATGGCCAGAGAGGGGACAGAGACTTCTCCTTTCTCCACTGCAGATCCCAGAGGTTTGTGTGGGAGAGAGGAAGGGGCTGGTGCAGTAGCTTTCCATGAACTTCTGAGGATATGAACAACTGCTCTCCAGGCCTTGCAACCCATCCTTCTTGAATGCTTAGGTTCAGCTTTCCATATTTTTTTCTTTGAAAAATAAGCCTGATGCCTTCTTAATCATTTCCCATGAGAACTAGAAGAGTGGGTAAAGAGCTGTGCAGAGAGCACAGACCAGTATGTGTTCTTAAGGACAGAGAGTCCCCACTCCGTTGAGAGGCTGGCTCCCAGAAATACAAGAAGGGGCCACACACTCAAGCTCCCAAGCCACAGAGCTAAGTCACAAAGAACACACTGAAAAGCTGCCCACCAGCCTGGGAACCAACTGGGCTCCTGGGCTCCCTCTAGAAGAAGTGTGGCTGGTGACCCCTGCTGGTTGGTCAGGACCACATCATGTCAGACTGTTGCTTACAGGCAGGGCAAGCTGGCCTCCTCTATCACAACCTCCTCCATGAGTCAGGACATCCACTGCTCATGGTGAACCTGAGGCCAACCCTCAATACCTGTGCAGGAAAGTTCAACAAAGCACATGAATTTACCAGTAATTCCACACTGTAAGTCAAATCAACATCTAGCTTCCAAAGAAGAACTTTTAGGGAAAAACATCTCCAAGACAATTTTTTTTTTCTGCTTGTTTTCCATATTTCCTTTAATCAACATGTACCTTAATAATGAAAAAATATTCACTATTTTGGGACTTTCCTGAACTTTAATTCAAACAATATCCACCATTCTCTAGCTCAGTGGGTCATGCCAGAGGCCAGTGGCCTGCAGAGATCATGCTAGAGGGCTCACTAGTAACAGAAAGAAGCTAGAAGTTTTACCATATGGAAACTTCCAAGGTGACAGCATGGAACTCACTTCAAAGAAAACAGAGGTGTCTCAAAAAGCAGGAAAGCCCTACCAGGAAGATGCTCTGCATGGGGGCAGCTAGGCCATGGGATGGCCAGACACAAGGCTCCAGGAGCTCTAAGAAACCCTTTACAGGTGGAATCTGTAAGCCATAAAGAACAAAAAATCAGGCATGATGACACAGGCCTGTAATCTTAGCACTCTTGGAGGACATTACAGGAGGGAGAATCACAAGTGGGAGCTCAGACCAGGCAATTTAGTGAGAACCTGTCTAAAATTTTAAAAAGTGTTGGGAATGTAGTTCAGTGCAAAGTTCCTAGGTTTGATTTCCAGTAATACAAAAACAAACCAACCGACACAGTTGTGTATGGTGCTCCATGGTCATAATTTTAGCTATTCAGGGGACGAAGGCAAAAAGATGGCAAGTTCCAGGCCAGCCTGTGTAACTTTGTGACACCTTTTTTAAAAAAATTGATATGGGATCTCGTTATGCAGCTTAGACTTGTAGTAATCCTCCTGTCTCAGCCTTCCTAGTGCTAGCATTACAGGAATGCACCACTACGCCCAGTTTCAGGGCTGGCACAGCACACCCTGGGTTCCATGGCTGGTATGTGGTATCAGAGATCGAGCCCACGTCCTTGAGCTTGCAAGGCAGGCACTTATGCCACTGAGCTATCTCCCAGCCCTGTGACACTGTTCTAAAAGAAGAACAAACTTTAGTAAGAGGCAGTCTACCCAGAAACAGGAATTTAATGGGCCAGTACATAAATGACTAACATGGAAGATGCAGGTAAAATACTTCCCTATTCCCTAAGACCTGTGCAGACCTGAAGCAAGGTGCCTCACACCCATGCAGCTGCTGGCAGCCTGGGCACACAGCCAATACACTTAAAACAAGGAATCCCAGGTCCTATCTGACTTTCCTGCACTCTCAGATAGTTCAGAGACCTCAGAGATGAATGAACCATGGAGATACGGCTGAGCCCTGCTTTGGCACACACTCTGCTCCCATTCCACCTACCCCAGCTCCTGGTTCCTGGTCAGCTGCTCAACACAGGCCTACACATTATGTTACATGATCTCCCAAAACCTTCAATTGCCTAATTGGACAGAGTCCTAATGACCAGCCCCAGCTTGGACATGAATCCCCTGAGAGCATTAAGACTTCCCAAGTCAGGGGTCAGAGAATGCCTTCAGATTCATGGACAGGGCACACTGCCACAGCCTAGCTGGGTATAGTCAAGGAAACAGGCCTGCACATAGGGAGGGGCCTTTCTCTCATTTTATGGAAAAAATAACATCTGCCACCCAGTTATAATGTGGTGCACCCCTCCTCCTAGGTACAAGGATTTCTGGGATACCACATGAAGGCAAGCTTGAAATACCAGTGTCATGCCCAAAAGAGAATAAACTCATGTGTCAATCAGTGCTTTCTAATTATTCCTTCAAAAAAAACCAAAGAAGGGCCTAATCAAGTTGTCGCTTAACAGCATATTTTAAAATATATTTTATGGGGCTGAAGGTATTGCTCAGAGGTACAGTGCATAGTTAGCATGCAGGAGACCCTGGATTTAACCTGCAACACGTACACATACACATTCTCTCTCTCTCTCTACCCCCCGCCCAAGCATGATGAGATATGTGCCTAGCGAGATCTAATTTATGTTGATTAATCTGAGAAAACTGATAATATATTGTTTCGTTTTGTTTTGTTTTTTTAAATTTATTTATTTATTTATTTATTTGTGTGTGTGTATGTGTGTGTGTGTGTGTGCGTGTGTGTGTGTGGCCAGCTCAGCCTACCAGGGGGCGTGGCTGGCTGGCATGTGGTGCTGGGGGATTGAACCGTGGTCCCTTTGCTTTGCTAAGCTTATTCAAATAGGTGCTTTAGACCACTGAGCCATCTCACCAGCCCCTAATATATTGTTTTGATCACTCAACAGTACTAACTAAAAAGAAAGCTCATCATAAAGTAAAATTTCAACATTCAATTTGGAGGGTTCAAGTATAAATGTGTATATGTATTATTGTGGAAGATGAGTAACACAGGATAGAAAACAGAAATACGCAACCTCAGGAAGAAACTGGTGAGTATGAAAATCATGTTTACAGTCCACTGCATACAGTTCTATACTACCAATTTTCAAACTCTCAGCATATGAATTAACACTTTTAAATCTAAGTGTTTAGACCAGTCTCCTGCCTCTTGTGAGCCTCATGGTAAGGAACAAACTCCCCTTCTGCATGGGATGCAGCACAGCCCAGGCCCACTCCAGGCTCACCATTGCTGGCCCCTGACATTTGATGGCCCCCACTGGGCCAGTCTAGCATCTCACAGTACCCTGTAAAACAGGGCATTTCCCCAGCAGTCTGTAGATGTGGTGGCTGACGAGGGAGTAACAGTGCTCCATCCTAATATTCACTCAGACTCTTCTGGGTCCTGTGATGGCTTCTGGGGACACTGAACAGCCCCACAGGTAGCCTATGCAGCTTTCTCCCAAAGACGCACCCCAGGGCCTTACTTTCTGGCTGGCTTCCTCCTCACTTGCTGTGGCATCAGTTGCCTGCAGTATCTCTTCCACAGACATATTCTTCAGTTTTTTGCTCTTTTTCTTTGCTACTTTAGGACCTTTTCTCTTTTGTTTTACCATCCTGCAAACAGAAAATACACATCGCTAAAATACATAGAAAATAACAGGCCCTAGGCGACGATATTTTTAACAAAGGAAGGCACTCTCCCATTATGAGAGAATTCAAAGGTATTTTATAAAGTGTGAAAAACATAAAAGTCAAACTTATAGTCCATCACTATTTTAAAAATTTGATTTCCTGCTTTTTGACTATTTTTATTTAACACAGCTATAACTAATACATAGTTTAGGTCAGTCTCAAGCAAGCAGGAGGCTGCTGACTGCAGCAGCAGTGCAATGCCTAAGTCAAAGAAACTTGTTTCTTTAAGCTCTTCAGGCGATTTTGACATTGAAGTTGACAAAAAGTTAAGGAGGAAAAAGCAAGTTGCTCCAGAAAAGCCGAAGACTGGTGAAGAAGCAGAAGACTGGTGAAACTTCCAGAGTTCTGTCACCTTCTAAGCAGAGCAGCAGCAGCAGAGATGATAACACGTTGCAGATTGGGCAACTGAGATATGTCAGTGTTCGGGACTTTAAAGGGAAAGTTCCTTTTTTTTCGGTATTGGAGATCGAACTCAGGACCTTGTGCTTGCCTGGCAAGCACTTATGTTGCTGAGCCACCTCCCCAGCCTTCATGAAAGGGAAAGTTCTAATTGATATTAGAGAATATTGGATGGATCCAGAAGGTAAAATGAAACCAGGAAGACAAGGTATTTCTTTAAATCCAGAGCAGTGGAGTCAGCTGAAGGAGCACATTTCTCACAATAATGATGCAGTAAGAAAACTGTAGAAGCTGAGCCATAAAAATGAATACTGACTCTGACAAAACTAAACAAAAAAAGGGGATACAAATGAATGACCATTTTGTATCTGTATATTCAAAATAGGATAGATATACAGCTACTATCTCTTAATTCAATGAATAGAAAGATTTGTTCTAACAGTGTTTGTGGACAGGATATCATGTCTGCATCTTGAACAACGAATAACCACTAAGACAACAATATGCAATGCATTAATTATTGAAACCGTCCTACAAATCAGTTTTGAAACTGTCTTATTGCTATTTGTTTCTCAATAAAATTATTTAAAAAAAAAAAACTGCTGGAAAAAAAAAAAACCCATCCTGTACTGTCCTAGTTGTCTTACTCTGTCTTTTTACATTGGCTTTTGTTTTCTAAACATCGTTTTCCAAGCTGCTGTATATTTGGAGTGCAGAACAATTTGTAAGATGAATAATTTTTTAAAATGTGTATTATTAAAAGTGTTCTGAGTGAAGAACAACTGTATTATTATGGATGATATAACTGTCAACTTTATTAAGGAGGATTGCTTTGTGCCCACCACCTAGTATAAAATAAAATCAAGTAATTCCACTCAAAAAAAATAGTTTAAGGACCGGTCAAATAGCTCAGCAGATTAAAGCACCTGCAGGGGTTGGTGAGATGGCTCAGTGGTCTAAAGCACCTACTTAGAACAAGCTAAGCTAAGCAAAGCACAGGGACCACAGTTCAATCCCCCAGCACCACATGCCAGCCAGCCCCGCCCCCTGGTGGGCTGAGCTGGCCACACACACACAAAATAAATAAATAAATATTAAAAAAAAAAAGCACCTGCAATCAGGCACAGGGGCCAGGATTTGATCCCCAGGTGGCCTGCTGTGCTGGCCCCGCCCCTGGGGCGTGCTGAGACAGCAACTGAGACTGGGCATGGTGGCATACCTGTAAACCCAGCACTTGGGAGGCTGTAAACATGAGAATCACTAGGAGTTAGATCTAGTAGTGAGACCCTGAACACCCTGAACACCCTGGACACCCTTCCCTAAAATAAAAATTAAAAAAATAATAGCTTATATAGTCTATATTTTTAATTCAACATGAACACAAAATGCTTAAGACATACTAGATTTAGTGTTAGTATTATAATTTTCCAAAAGTAAAAATTTATCTGTTCTCTAATCCGTATTGCCTATTAATTATTGGGGTTTTAAAGTTTTCTATTATGCTGGACTATACTCCCACACAGGCTGTGGTGAGTCACATACCCTATCATGGGCAGCTAGCCATACCTGGCCTCAAGGACCTGGAGAGCCTAGGTTGTCTTCTCCAGGCCTTGAGCAGCACCAACCAGCCCCAAACACCTGCCCTTCTGGAGCTCACTCTCTCCCCCTAATTTTGGGGGAAAGGGGCTGCATATTATATAAAAAAAGATTTTGCTATGCAAGATAAATAAAGACTGGGTGTGAAGGCACATGTCTGCTTTTGCAGCTACCATGGAGGCTGAGGCATGAGGGTCAGACATTTGATGCCAGCCTAGGCAACTTAATGAGACTTTGACTCAGCAATAAACTAAAAAAGGTAGGGAGTGTAGTTCAGTGGTAGAGTCCCAAGATTCAACCCCCAGTACTGAAGAACAACAAAACAAATGATATAAGGCAGGAGAGAGTTGTATATATTAAAAGGATGATCAAATCGGGGAGGTAGCTCTACTGTAAAGTGCTTGTCTAGCACATACCACACCCTAGACTCCATTCCTATCACTGTAAAAGAGAAAGAAAAAAAAAGATGATGCTCTGATGGAAGGGGTAGTGGACATCCCCTTAGAGAGCACATCTGGAGGCCAACACTACTCTTGGTGAGAAACTGCTGAGAGTACAGGGTGAACCTGGGACACCAAGCAAGCTAGAAATTGAGGACTCCTTGTGCCATATTGGGGTTGTCACAGGTTACAGCACATAGAGAGAATATTCTATTCTGGAATCAGAAAATTCCAATCTCGCTTCTTTTTCTGGGAAACACCAAATGGCGGATGAAACCAGTGCAGCAGGAGGGGCCGGAGGCCCTGGGGGCCCAGGCATGGGAGGCCACAGCTTCCGCAGAGGCTTCGGCAGTGGCCTTCAAGGTCATGCGTGCAGCAGAGACCAGGGGCCAGGGCCGAGGCTGAGGCTGCAGGGCTCGCGGCGGTAAGGCCGAGGACAA